CAGAGAGAGAGAGCACAGGCAGGCCGAGCAACAGGCAGAGGGAGAAGCAGGCTCCCCGCTGAGTAGGGAGCCCCAATGTGGGCCTCAATCCCAGGACCCCGGGATCATGACCTGAGCTGAAGGCAGATGCTTAATCAACTGAGCCACCCAGGCGTCCCAACTAAGCATAATCTTAACATACAATCCAGTAATCATACTTTTTGGTATTTACCCAAAGGAGTTGAAAACTTATGCCTATACAAAAATCTGCACATGGATGTTGATGGCGGCTTTACTCCAGTTGCCACAACTTGAAAGCAAACAAGATACCCTTCCGTAAGTGAAGGGATAAATAAAATGTGGTATATGTAGGCAAGGGAATATTATTAAGCATTAAAAGGAAAGGAGCTATCAAGCCATGAAAAAACACGGAGAAATGTTAAATGCGTATTACTAAGTGAAAGAAGCCAGTCTGAAAAGGCTACATGCTGTATGTTCCAACTACATGGCATTTTGAAAAAGGCAAAAACTATGGGGATAATAAAAAGATCAGTGGTTGCCTGGGGTTAAGGGAGAGAGAGGGATACGTAGGCAGAGCACAGAAGATTTTTAGGGCAGTGAAACTACTTTGTGTCATATAGCATAATGATGGGTTCCCATCGTTATACATTTTTCCAGACCCATAGGATGTATAACATTAAGAGTAAACCCTAAAATAAACTGTAGATACTGGGTGATAATGATGTGTCAATGTAGGTTCATGAGTTGTAACAAAGATACCACTCTGGTGGGGGATGTTGATAAGGGGGTGGGGGAAAGGCTGTGCATTTGTGTGGGGCATGCAGTATATGGGGAATCTCCATACCTTTTGCTCAATTTTTCTGTGAACTTAAAACTACTCTAAAAAGTAAAATCTGTTTTAAAAAATGAATATAAGGAAATTTGATCAGGGGCGCCTGGGTGGCTCAGTCGTTAAGCATCTGCCTTCGGCTTAGGTCATGATCCCCAGGTCCTGGGATGGAGCAGGGTTCCCTGCTCAGGGCGGGGAGTCTGCTTTTCCCTCTCCCTCTGCCCCTCCTCCTGCTTGTGCTCTCTTGCTCACTCTCTCTCTCAAATGAATAAGTAAAATCTTTAAAAAAAAAAAAAAAAAAGAGCTTCGATCAGTGTTTGGCATAAAGGAAGCAATAATTTTAACAGTATTTAGTAGTAATTAGACGTTGACAGTAAGGCACATTGGAAAGACAGCACAAAATAAGTTTTTAAGGATTGTTTGCTAATTAATTGAGGTTTCTTGCTGACTTTGAAGATATAATTTTATTTTATGACTTTTACAGCGCCACCTCTTTGTTTAATATCTGGACCAAATATGCCCCCCGGCTGCCAGCTGCCTATTACAATGAAAAGCTTCTGAAGGTTGGCGATAGCCTTTGTGAAATGAAAGTAAGTGCCTCTGGAATAAAAAGGGCCTACATGAAGCTGACTTGGCTAATTATTATTTGGTTTGATACCATTCCTATTTTACATGATTTGATTTTTTTCGTAGAAAAATATGAATGAATGCTACAAATGTTAATGAGGCACCATAACCAAAAAAGTGTTTGTTTTTTAATTTTGTAGTTCAGATTCTCCAGAGGTGAGAGATTCCTGAACGGAAAGACAACCAGCTGGGGTTGGGCAGGCTCACAGCCCCTAGTTAACAGAGGGTGTGGTAGGTGCCCAACAGGAAATGCTGAGTCATCATGTTCCTACCTCATACAAAGGAGCCCAGACACCACTTCCTGTTGTTTTTCACATGGCTGACCTTGCCCAGTGACAACTTTCATGGGTTCCTGGCCTTGCTGCTATGTTGTCTGGTTCCCAGTGCCCTGTTTTAATGACTTTCAACTCCTTAATGTTTTGCCATATGTAATTATAGCAGTCATTCCTTACGTGCCCTGTTTCTTGCTTAGTATTGTAGTCCAAACTGAGCTTGTGCCAGATTTCTAGTTCCTGTCAGTGGCCACGTCTTGGATTGCTGTGGACTTGTGGATTTGGTTCAGTAAGACCACACCATAGCTGGGTTTTCGGTTAACAGTCATATAAGTTTTTCCCTTAAGCTCTGGCATAGGCCCAAATTATTCTGAGTTAAATATGAATGTTTGACACATCTAGAATCCTTGGACTGAAAGTTTGTTTTATCCAAACGGTTTTTAGGCCGTTTTCAATGTTTTCTTGATTTTCAGTTTTTCAACTTCATTTTCCTCCTCCATTTCTATTTTCTGGACTTGAATTTATTTTTCTTTTCTTTTTTTGGGGGGGTGGTTTGAGGGGGAAATTTACCAAATGGAGGATGAGATGTGGAGGAAATTTCAAATGAGGACGATCTATTGTCTGCTGCCAAAATTAGAGCATCAGCTTAGCTTCATGTAATTGGACCATAGTTCTTAGAAACTTAAAAATAAAGAAAAACTATAGAAAAAAAGTTTCTCTATAGGAAAACTACAGAAAACAAACAAAAAAACTGATGGACAAGATCCAACTTGTGACCTATATTCATGTGAAGTGGGATAACTGTTTTGACAAGCATTAGAAGAGTGTCCCATCTGTTTTTATGCTTCTCCTCAATATAAGAGGCTGGTGATACACAGCACAGTTTGGTGTTGTTTGTGGAGTATTCAGGTGGGTGGAGCAGATATTGGTGGAGGGAGGAGGGAAGACCATGTTAGAAGTTGATAAAGCAAGTTCAAGCTGGGTAGTGGCTAAGGATTTAGAATATTTCAGATAGAAAGGCCCAGATAGGATATTTTAAAATTTACTTAAAGGAACAAAGAAAACATTTTTAATCTACTTTTCATTGATGAGAAAGTGGGCTGATAAAGGTATTTAGACTCCTGAAAATGAACTTGAGTTGTTCCTTTGGTTCTAGAATCTCTTTAGTTTTATTTAATTCCAGCAAAGATCATTTTGTTGGAATAGTCTTGTTTTGAACCTAGATTTGAATTTATCATATGAACCAAGTTAGAAGGGAAAAGATTCAGAATCAACTAGTGAAAAGTAACAAACAAGTCAGTAGAAATAGAAACAAAAGTTTGACTGTGGATGACTTCCAAGGGCCTAGGTAACCCTATAGGCAGGTGAACCTATAATAGTTGCTTTCCCTGGAGACAGTTGTAGGGGAGGAAACTGACGAAGGGGTGCAGTTGATTCATATCCACAGCCCTGCTCACCTCCCCTGCCCTGAAACTCCAGGTCAGCTGGGCCCTGTGCACTGCAGAAATGAGCCCTGATTTTGTAATGGAAACATAAGCCTGAATTAGGACTAACAGGAATCCTAACTAACAATAGCTCAGGCTTTTTTTATTTGTCCTGATGCAGCTTCAGAGACTGTTGGCAGATGAGAGAGAGAGAGAGAGAGAGAGCGTGCCTTTCCTCTCCTCTCCCTTCCTGCCTTTCTTCTTTCTCTCTCTCCCTCCTTCCTCCTTTTCTCCCTCCTTTTCTCTTCTCCCTCCCTGCCTCCCACCCTTCCTCCCTCCCCTACCCCACCTTTCTTTCTTTTTTGGAACTTAGGAGGTATCAGAGAAGCAAGGCTAGTTATGCAACTCATCTGCCTCTCTGAGTAGGTGGATTACCATGACATGGTGATGATGAATTTTTTGGATTTTGAGTATATATAGGTATTACCACACACACCCTGGTGAATATTCTCATTATTATGTCATCATTATTCACACCCTGGTGAATATTCTCATCTTTGAGATCGTGTTGGTCTCATCTCGGCTTGTTGGGAGGAGAATTAATGCAATAATGCGCACGAAGCGCCCAGTGCGGTGTCTGTCACACGATATGTGTTCAGAAATGCTAGTGGTAATGGTAGTAATAATGTAATGGTGGTAGTAAAAGAGTGTTATAGTAATAATCAACATTGATACTCTTAAGAATAATTTGATTATTACTGGATTTTAATAATGATAAGCAGAATGATACTTTGAAACTTTCATCAAGTCCTTTTTTTATTTCAGGAATATAAATTGGCGCTTTTACAGTGCTATGGAAGGTATCTTCAGCAGTTCACTATCAACTTTGATGAGAACAAAGCAGACGTGAATCAGTTCAAAATGGCCTTTTTCCCAAAAGGCTTTGGAGACAAAACTGCAGCACATACAGTAAGATGAAAGCAGTAGCTATTTTAGCCACAATTTATGATTAGCCATGCAATGTATTCTTTAGTTGACAGCTTCTAAATGTCTTTCATTTGCTTAGCATGGCATTTGCTTGTGTGCTGTAAGTTGCTTAATACATGTTTTCCGTGATGGATAAGAAAGTGCATTTATTAAACTTTGTAAAGATGTTTTGGAGATTGTGTCATAATAATCACTCATTCTTCCAGCAGATGGTTATTATTAATATAATAACTAATATTTGTAGAGTGCTTTTAGTTTACAAAGTGCTTTGGAAAACATATTTGATCCTCAATAACCTTATGAATTAGAAACTATTATTACCCTTATTTCACAAAAGAGAGAAAGAAAGCTAACGGCACAGTTAGTTAACTAGTGTCTCAGGAGATCAAACATAGATCTTTTAATACAAAAAAATGTGATGCTTTATTTCTAATATACCAGTATTATTTTTATGTTAATTGCTACCATGGATTCACTGGACGAGGGGTTACCAGGTGCTATACTCTTCCGTACGCATTATATGAATTGTCTTCTTGTAGCTTGATTACAGTCCTAGAAGGTGGGTACTGTAATGCCTCTTTTACAGATGAGGAAACAGAGACTAAGAAATAAAGCA